GCAACCTTCATACCCACCGCTCCACAACCTGCACAGGTGTTAACGAGCAACGTCGGCGCCCTGGACATGGCGAAGCTGGGTTGGGTGAGCCCTGCACCTTGTGGACAGGTCCCGCGACGTGAAGCAGAATGACGAGTAATGACACCCGTGTGACTCTGGGCTCACTGCTACGGACAGGAGCTGAATTCCTACCGCCTCTGACCACCGTGACAGTGAAATTACGTGGGACGAAACACTCCCGGGAGACCTGCTGTCCTGACGGGACGTCCACGAAGGTTGCAGGATCCGGCTCTGGGGACTCTTTGAAACGTCCCCAAAGGCCTGCCACACTCTCGCGCAGGGCCTGCGGCTGCCTCTGCCGCTCAGGGTCAGGGAACCAGGGAAGACCAGGGAAGGACTTGACCCGGGCTGGCCTCCTGCCCGCTGGCAGAGGGACCAGCTTTCGGGGGGTGTCTGGGGCGGCCTGCTCTTTTCCTTGGTGCCGTGTGCGTTAATTGCCAATATTTAAAAATCAGGAGGGTGCCCCTGAATATATAGCTACGTTCTCTAGTGCAGCTATCAGGCATCCCTCCCAGGTGCACTTCCGACTTGGAGGCCTGGGGTCAGCCACCCGCCACTGGCCACGGGCTGTTCTCTTGCCCTTCCCGAAGTTTCTCATCCCCAGAAATCTGGCGTCAGGGTTGGTGCCTGAGGCTGCAGCCCGAGGACCACACCATGGGGGTGTTATTCCACACACAGTCCCTGGAAATAGCCGATCGCCGCACTATTTTTTCAGGTCTTACGCCTTCTATCATGACACTTCATTTAGCATTTAGATGATGGTATTTTAAAGTTTAGCTTGAAGACCGAACACATCATTCTAAGATATATATATATATATATATATACACACACACATTAAGATTCCTCAATACGCAGCATTTGAGATAATACAATCCTATCAGCCTTTTAGCCAAGCAGCGGTAAAACCATCACAACTAAGTTAGAAGTTACACCTCGTAGGCTTTCCGAACACCCTCCTGACAGACTAGAAGCACTGCAGGAAACCACTCCCAACCCAGCGAGAACCTGCTGCTCCGAAGCTTCTTTGATTGGAAAATACAAAAAGGTCCCCTCCCCTTTGCCATCTCAGCAGCTGCTGATGGAACCATCATCATCGCAGCTCACATATTCATTTTTTTTAATATTTAAAAAATACAGCCCTGGCTGGTGTAGCTCAGTGGATTGAGGGCTGGACTGTGAACCAAAGGGTCGCCAGTTCGATTCCCAGTCAGGGCACAGGCCTGGGTTGTGGGCCAGGTCCCCAGTAGGGGGCGTGTGGCAGGCAACCTCACACTGATGTTTCTCTCCCTCTCTTTGTCCTCCCCTTCCCCTCTCTCTAAAAGTAAATAAATAAAATTAAGAGAAGTAAATATTTTTTAGATATAGAAATTAGAAAATGTTCAACTTGCACACTTTCCCAATTTCAAGGAATGCTCTGTGCTTGTAAAAAGATAAATACAGCAGCCACAGAATTTAGAGCTGACAATGCACAGGAACACGGGGCGGGGGGCTGGTAAGCAAGGGAAAAGAAAACCAGAAACCCGAGAATAGGAAAAGAAAAAGAGAAAAGTAAGAAATCGCCTCCTGACTGAGCAATCCCCACTGCCGTGTGAAAATTTCATTTCCTCTTCGGAAATTTCGGCGGAAAAAAAAAAAGAAAGAGGCATATGTCTCTTCGCAAAACGCACGTCTTTCTTAACGTCCAGACTTCACACTTTGCTTTTGAGTCCGCGTTTCGTTTTTCGTGGAACCTTAGGGAGTGTGTTCCAGCGAGGGGGGGGCCGGACCGAGACATTACTTCCGAGCCCCCTTAGAAGCGTCCAGAAATGTATAAAAGTCCCTTTCATACCCAGAGGAGGCTAGAAGGTCCTCGTGGGAGCCACGGGAAAGATTTATGTGGCATTTCCCTGACACGCCCGTGGCCCGCCTTGGGAGCCCAGGGTTGGTCGGCGGCCTCAGTCTTTCTCATTTCAGGAGTGGACCCAGTTTGGAGTGCGTTAACCCTCAGTTGGGAATCACACAGACTTGCACCCTCTGTGAGAACTTCAGTGAAAAAAAAAACCCTTCATAAAAAATATACACGATATACTGTGTCCTCTAGTGTTTATATTTATAATTGATTCCCCAAGTGACAACCTGGGCCTGATGGGGAAAAAAAATGACCTGGGTGGGAAGATACGTGAGTGCAGACAACCAGTTCTTACACGGTTTTCCTCCAATCCAGTGGTTTTCTGGGAACTACCCAGCCACTTGGCTCCGTTCAAGGGCTCTTCTCGGCGTCCTTGGCTGTTTTGGGGACAGCACAGGCTGATGAAGCGTCAGGACGCCATACTCACGGGCTTGGAATGGAGGCGCTTTCTCCCAGCCAGGGCCCGCACTTGGACTTGGTCTGCAATCCATCATTTCAAGATGTGATTTCCACTCCCGCCCGCCCCTTCTCCAGTGTTGGCTGGCTCTACGCCTTCTCATAAGCACCCAGAAACGACATTATCAAAGATTCCATCTGGGCCCCACGACAGGTTCTGTCTAATTGACCTACGCTCTTTCATCTCCCCCTTTTTTAAATTAAAAAAAAATTTTTTTTCTTCTTCTGGAGGAAGAAGAAATGATGAAGAAAATGTTCTTGGATTTCATTTCTGGCAGAGCCCTGAGGGCTTTTTGCTTTAAATCGTCAGTGAAATGCTTGACATTTTTCCTTCACTTTATAAACATTATGTGCAAATCATTCAGAATCCTAATGGAAAGTAACTTCCCATCAGTGCAGGCCGTAAAACGCCGTGTTCTTTTGAAACCGTGCCCTTGAAAGAAACCGGGCAGGACCCTCTCCACTCGCAAATTCCACCCACAAATCAAGGAGGCCAGGGCCGGGGTTGCTGGGGGGGAAGCTGGAGCTGGGGGCCAGCGCTACCACCAAGGGCCATTCAGAGGAGGCAGCAGGGACACAGAGAAGGGACAGGCCTGTGTCAGATGGCGCTGAGCCTCCTAAAAAGCCACCTTTTGCACATCTGTGAACTCTGGCTTAACCACGTCTTCTGCCCAAGGGACTGAGCTACTGGCTAAGAAGGAAGAACCCCAGAACTGACAGGCGTGGTCTGCACCAGGAAGCGAAGACCTCCGTCCTCACCGGGGTTCCCTCCTCCAGGCCAGATACCAACAGCAGCCCCCCGGCCAGCCGACGGTTCCCTGGGATCGGGAATGTTGAAAATAAACCCATTCCCAAGGCTCTTGAACACACGGCCGCCACCCAATCCCCCAGTAGTCTTTCTGATTGACGTAAAATGAAATAGCAATGCACGTGCCCGGCTCTGTGACTTACGGGCTCCGTGACCTTTTGAGAAAATTGCACTTACTCATCTGTGAAATGGGAAGCGTAGTGTTAGGCCCGGAATTAGATAAAAGTAGCCAAGAGGAACCCGAGGCAGGCTCCAGACTGTCTCAGCAAGGAAGATAGAAAGTACAGAAAGTACAAAGAGTGCTGAACAAGATAAACCGCCTTGTGCATGACCCTGTCTTTGCAGAGAAGTATCCATTGTTGCAAGCAGAGAACATAGCCATGTGTGTGTTCTCTCGAGATAGCCAATTGCTAACAGCTACGTCTGCTTCTGTATTTGCTTGCTTGCTTGCTCACCCCAATAAAAACCCCAGGCTGTAAGCGCCAGGCGCGACTCTCATTTACAGCCATTTTGGCACCCGTGTCTCCGGACACCCCGAGAGTTCGCCCCTGCGCAGGTAAAACTTTGGCCAATAAAGTTCCATCTTAAACTCCTGAAAGCTTCCGACCATTTGTTGCTCGCATTGGTGGATGCTACAGTGGCAATACCAGAAACACATAAGAAGGATTCAGTCTATATCCCCTGACCCACACAGTAAGTTCTCAATAAGCGTGACTGCTACGTTGTTCTATTAGTTATTACTATTTTATTTCATGTTATCGCTTCCTGTAATAACAGATGTCCACTGTAGTTGAAAAATAAAGAAATGTTTAAAAAAAGGAAGAAAAAAAAAACCCTTAAAGCGTAGCAGCAGCATGAGAAGAAAATCTTGCCTGCAGGGATGATAGGGGAAGGGTGTTACAGAGGAGAAATGTGAAATCCAGGAACTTTGTCCAAAGTCTCACATACACACAAAAACTAACTCAACGTGGATCATGGGCTAAAATCTAAAAAAGTGTACAATTTCTGGGGAAGAAAACACATGGGAGGAAATCTTCAGGACCAAAGGCTAAGGAAAGAACTCTTAGACCTCACAGCAAGAGCACGAACATAAAAGGAAAAATTGGTCCATTGGATGTCCTCAAAATTTTTAAAATCTGATACCCAACACACTGCAAAGAGACTAAAAAGAAGTTACAGAGTGCATCACAGAAAGATTAAGATCAAGTACCATAAAAAAATACGGAGTACCACTTTCTCACCCATGAACACTCGGCAAAATCGGAAGTCTAATGACCTGGGCTCGGGAAGGCGGGCGTCTCAGCACTGACAGCACCTAGTGTGTGAGGGAGGGCAGCTGGGTTGCACGATGCCTACAATCACCTAAAACTTGAGGTCACGAAGCAAGACAACCTCATCTCCAAGGAAGACTAGCCCATCAGGGTCCATAAAGTATTCTACGGATATCGGCTTTCACCGGCAACCACCCTCGTGGCCGTGAGTAGGGAAATGCATGTGTCAACGGAAAAGTAGGAAGCTGTTAAATAAAGAATAGAGGTCTATATGCATGACACGGAAATGACTCTGAGAAACAGCGACGTGTTGACAAAAGCAAACTGCAGAGCGGGAACCTGGTACGATCTTGTGTATGGGCAGGTGGAGGCGTTACCAAACAACCAAAAAAAAAAAATTCAGGGTCTCCGGGCATTCCACAGAACACAGCAGCACTCGGTGAGCACGTGCTCCGTGGTGGCAAACGCCCTCCCCCCGAGCCCGGGTGCAGGGCCCAATGAATGGGCGTCTCACCTGTCAACTTTGCCGTGGAGGCGCTGGGCACCCCGTTGAGCTCGCTAGGACTCCGTTTCAGGGGCCGTGGCTTGTATTCCCGCTTGGGCAGCGTGGATGCAGCCGATATCCTAAAACACACAGCGGAAGGCGGGTCACAAGCGGCCGAGCTGCGCAGAGCGCCCAGCACCGTCGGCTGTGCCCCGAGGAGCCCCGGACGCAGGGAGCAACTCCCACACGGATTCTCGAGCAGCCCCAAGGGCTAGCGGTGACGTCCCAAATGTCACGGTTCAACTGCCTATTTGAAATGCGTCTCTTGTAAAGTCTCTCTGGGCAGTGGACAACGGTAACTGCCTTCTTCCTCTTTCTCCCTGAAAGGAGACAGAGAACACAAACTCGCTCGTGTGAGCTCCGGGTCACCGCCCGTCCACAGAGCGGGCGCCTCGCCGACTGTCCACACCTTCCGTCTCCACTCCACCGTGAAATCCCTGCAAGAGTATCCACGACCCTAATCCTGTGTAAGACAATGTTCTGTCATGGAGAAATAGGGTACTTTTTAAAATATTTTATTTATTTATTTTTCGAGAGAGGGGAAGGGAAGGAGAAAGAGTGGGAGAGAAACATCAATGTATGGTTGCCTCTCATGCGTCCCCTGCTGGGAACTGGCCTGCAACCCAGGCATGTGCCCTGACTGGGAATTGAACCTCGATACTCTGGTTCGCAGGCCCGCGCTCAATCCACTGAGCTACGCCAGCCAGGGCGAAATAGGGTACTTTTTTAAAACCCTTTATTTTAACAAACAGGGTTACCATGCCTATGACGTCACAGTGGTGTCATGCTGCGTGGGACATCGTAGCAATGTCCCATCGTATACGGCAGCACTGATTTTCAAAGCAGTGTAGGGCACGCTGATCCCTAAAGCCATGAGGAACACAGCCGTCTCTCTGTGATCGCTCAGAAGGAACTTCTCCGTCTCCACGCCTCTTGGAGTCAAGGTGACGAATATGGCCTGAGAGTTGAGTTGTCGGCACAAATCACGTGTTTTTCCAGATATGGACTCACTTTTCCTCTCCCTCTCTGCCACATCCCCGGAGGCTGGGAGGGAGCACACGCCATCGCCATCGCCATCCCCAGCTTGTTAATGGGGAGCCGAGGCTTCCGGCAGGATCGTGGGGGCTGAACTCGAGGCCCATGAGTAGCTTTGCCCGGCCGCATTCAACACGGGTCACGGAAAAGGGGTTTAGAGAAAAGGAGGAGGAGAGAAACTGCCAGCTCCCTTTCCCCAGTTCTGTCCTTCCGGCCAAAGCCTCCACGTATGTATTATCTCAGGCCGATCCCGCACCCACCTGTGGAAGAAACATCAAAACAGAGCCGGGTGATGGGAAGGGGACATGAAGAGATGGGAGACAGAGTGACGCCCATCAGCTCTGACTCGCAGCCCGGGGGTCGCACACCGGGGGCTCTTACCGAGTCTGCAGCTTGCTCCGGAGCTCCTCCAGGATCTCGGCGGACTGCCTGTGGTAGTCTAGGGCGGCCTCCACGAACACAGCCAGCTGGCTGACCTGTTCTACCTGCAGCAGAAGCAGAAAATTACTCCGTGGGGGCCAGGGCCTGCGCTGGTCAGAGGCAGGACCAAGGCCGGCTTTGCAGGGAAGCCTGCGTCCCCCTGGGCTCTGGTCCATCTCAAAGCGTCCCACCCGGTCCTGGCCTGCGGGCCCTGGTGCAGAGCTGGAGATCCGGAAGCGGAGATCAAGCTTTCGCGGTTACGAGGGAAACCATCCCTGAGCAAACTAACTGCTTCCTGACTGGGGTGTTACTTTCTGTCCCTTTCTACTTAGGTCCAATCAGGAGATGGAGTGAATGAAGGGCTTCTCGGGGGAGAGAGAAGCCAGGGCAGACACTTGGCACCCTGGTGCAGGTACCAAGTCTCCCCGCTGAGGCTCACAGCTGAAAGGAATAAAGTACAGAGAGCGGGGTACCGCTCTGTCCCATGACGCCAGACCTTCAGGAACGCTGGGCCAAATAAGAGTGGATGTAAAAAATAAAATAAAATAAAAAAGCTGTGTCCCCTGAGAAAGCCCTGAAGCCCTGGAGGTGCATAATCTGAGGATATTTCCAGCAGGCCTGGGAGCTTCCTTGGTTGCAACAGAAAAGAGGGATTCATATGCTCATTTCCAGAAGCCCCTGGGGCCTGCTGGGTGGAGGGGACAGGGGCCCCAGCACAGTCCCCCTCACTCCACTTCCAGACACAAGACAAGACCCGTGCCCCCTTCCCAAGCCCCCCCCAAACCTCCCCGTCACTTCTTCTGCTGGGGGCAAAGTCAGCCCTGCTCACTCCCCCCCCACCCTGCACACAGGGACTCACTGAGGAAAACCCGCCACCCATGTGCTTGCCTCGGAGAGTCAAACTGCTTTCACTGGCTGTTGCAAACCGCGCTTTCTCTGCCTACGCTCCACCTTCGCTACCCACTCCGACACCATTTCAAACGCGGACTCAGCATGCATTTCAGACGGACGTGGCTTTCCGCATGGGCCACGCCGGGCGGGACCAGCCTGGGAACAAGGAAACCCCACCACCGCTGTCTGGCGCGCCCTGTGGCCGGAAAAACACCAGCCCAGCCCCACATGTCCAAAACCAAATACACAAAACCGTGACAGCTTGAGCCCTACAAAACCCTACAGATTTCTTACGTTTTGCCTCTTTGCCTCTGACACATCCTTTTAAAACAAGCCCAGCGCCTCACCCTCCAGAGATCAGAGCAGAATCTGCCACAGAGAGAAAGAAATTTCCTCCGAGAGAGCCAGAGTTGCTGCATGCTGGGCAAACCTGCACCCCCGCCGCCCTGTCCTCAGGAAAACAAACTTCCACGTTAATACCCGCTTTGAAATACGCTCGGCACTGCGTACGGGGTGAAGGGACCACGCGAGAGAGCGCGATGAGCGTTCTTTCCAATACATGTGGGGCTGGGAAGGGTCCACCAGCAGCCCTCCTCTCTGATGTGGCTGAAATGCCAGATTGTGAGATCGGGAGATGCATTTGTAACTGGTCATTCCATGGCTGACCTTGGGAAGGAAATGGATCCCGGGCCTCTTAAAACACGGGCTTGGGCTGGCCCTGGCCGGCGTGGCTCAGCTGTGCAGAGCTTCATCCTGTGGCCCAAAGGGTCGCAATTTCGATTCCTGGTCAGGACACACACCCAGGTTGTGGGTTTGATCCCAGCTGGGGCGTGTATAAGAAAGGCAACCATCGACGTTTCTCTTTCCCATCGATGTTTCTCCTCCTTTTCACCTCCCTCCCTCCCCCCACTCTCTCTCTCTCTCTTGAAAAGCAATGAACAATATGTGCTCAGTGAGGATTAAAAATAAAAAGTGTGCACATCTGTAGGAGGTGTCCGTGCAGGTAGGGGAGAGCTGGTCACTACACTCTGAGTCTCCTGCAGACAATGAAGACCCGCGGTGCCACGGCGGCCTCTCTGCTTCTCCCTGCTGAACCTCGGGCTCTCCCGGCTGTCCCCGGGCCACGAGCAGGGAGCCGAGTACAGGTGCCCCCCCCCCCGCTCCCACCCACAAAAGTCCGCCGGAGGGCCCGCTTCCCATCCACACTTGGAATTAAACGCCTGGACAGGCAGGACCAAGAGAGCAGCAAACCCAAGCCTGGCGATCGCCAGACCAGCCAGGAGGTGGAATGTTTCTGTCACCAGCTGCGCCACTCAGCTTGGCAAATCGCCCCGGCCACGCAGGGAGGGTTCCCTGGAATGAGAAGGCAGCAGTAGTCCCACGTCCAGCGGGGGCCTGGGCGTAACTGCCGTGTGACAAGGCGGAGACAAATCAGTGTCCCACATGGACAGAGGGCTGAGTTTCTATGAGGAAGGATCACTTCTGACCTTGGACTGAGGTCAACCACCAAGGACAGAGCAACGGAGACAGCGCCCCCTGCCCCCACATGGGGCACGTGGGCGAGACCACAAATCTCACATGGGAATCACCCTGAGGGGTTGACGTGCCACCCAGGAGTGCGGGGCTGGAAGGAATCCATACACCTCACACACAATGCACCAAAAAATGCTTTTCCTAATACCCCCTCCAAAAAGAACCCAAAGACGGCAGGCAACCTGAGACAAAAGCAAACCGACATCGCCTATGGCTTGGGGACGCCCTTGAGAGGAACTTGAGAGACTTACGGTAAAACCAACGAACACAGCAGAACACAGTCGCAGCCTTTCCCATTTCCCGTAAAACATAAAAAACCTGGCAAAACGGGTAAGAGGAGACACTCAGCAGAGTGCGCTTTCGAGAGCTCCCGGTTTAACGGGCGTGGGGGCTGCAGATCCTCTCCTCCCGCGGTCAACGTCCTGTCCACACGGGCACAGCCCCGCCCACAAGGCTCCAGGGCTCCCACCCAGCCTCCGGCCTCTGTCCGCTTTGTTTGACTTGACTCCATGACGCAAGACTTTGACGCACCTTTCAACGAACTGCTGGAAGAAGAACACGGTTTTGCAGGTCAAGAAATCCTCTGATTTGTGCCCAGGGACTTTAAAAGTTCCCCAAAGAGTGCCCTGGCCAGGTAAGCTCAGTTGGTTAGAGCAGCGTCCCTGTTAAACCAAGGTTGCAGGTTCGATCCCCAGTCAGGGCACAAGAGTCGACCAAGGAATGCATCCGTAAGTGGAATAAGTTGATGTTCCTCTCTAATAAATAAAAAATTTAAAATAAAGTTCAACAGATGGGTCCAAAGCAAGTGCTGAGAGCCCATGGCACCAGCATGGTCAGGTCCAGCAGCAGGAGTGACCACGGGGTCCTCCATTTGGTCACTGAAACACACTCAACGACCCCTCGTCACCGACCCTAAGAGTCACCGTAATTCCATTTAATCTAACTCCTCTTGGCCACATGAAGCTGGTGGCCAGCATCAGCGCACACGGAACATCCCCACTCCCAAGGGCTACGTCCCGAGACCCCCCGCAGTCCCCGAGCACTGCGGTACAGCCGCAACTCTCAGTTCTGACTCCATGTCCTGAACATTCACTCTGACATTCGCTCAGCGCAACTGCAAATCACGCAGGATGTGGGCTTTGCATTCCGCAAAACCAGCAACGCCACGGCCTCAAGTACAGTGGCCGGCAACCGGCGAATTCCCGAGACACCCCACCTCCTTGGGGCCGACGCCAGCACAGCTGGGAAGCAATCCTGGGGTAAACTGGGCGCCCCAAGATCTGAGACTCTAGCTGGGACCTGCTGAATGTACAAAGCTATCTTGGAGGCAGGAGAGAAGGGGAACGGAAAGTTCCAGAAACTTTTCTCACAACCAAAGCATGTCTCACAACATCAAGTCAGTGTGGCTCATTCCCACGAAAGCCCCCCATTTGGGGTTAAATACTTACATCGTTTTCTAAAAAATTAAACATGCTTCGTTCAGCCAGCTCCTTCGACTCTTCAAATTTTTCTACCGCTTGTCTGACTTCTTCGTCTGGTATCTTACCTACTCGCTTCTTCTTATAATCGTAATCCAGGCGGCGGCCTTCCAGCTTTTTCAGGTGGTGCTGAGGGACGAGGGGACAGCCCTTCAGGGACGGCTCCGCCCCAAACGCGGTGCAGAGACGCCCCTTCCCGCTCCGAGAAGAACCGTTCCTTCTCTCCTGGGCCTCCCCCATAGCAGGCAGGAGCCCGCCCCACATTTTGTGGTGGTGGTACCTCGGCATCTATGAGAGTTCACTGCAAACTCTCCAGGAGTTATTTATTCATGAAATGAATGGATGGATGGAGAGTGGACAGACAGACAGACGGACAAATGGACAGATGGGTGAGTGAATGGATGAGAGAATGAAGGACAGTCGACCTGGGGCAGAAAGACACAGCATCCACACTCAGATTCCATCGTCCGAGGTCCCTCACAGAACCCCTCACTTCGGCTCTGCTCGCGTCCGAAGAACTTCCAACCACACCAACCACACCAAAAACAGGGTGATCCCTTTTGGCACTATTGCCAACTCCCCACTAAGAGGTAGATGACAAAAACACAGGTTTCTGCTGTCCTCTTGCAGGGGTGTCCGACCTTTTGGCGTCTCTGGGCCACACAGGAAGAAGTAGCATTGTCTTGGGCCCCACATTAAACACATTGCGACACGTAACCACACACACACAAAAAAATCTCATAATGTTTTAGGTTAATTCACGATGCTGTGTTGGGCCCTATTCACAGCCGCCCTGGGCCGCAGGCTGGACACCCCTGCAGAGTCTAGAATATCTGTGCGTCTCCCACAAAAGTCCCCCGACAGCGACAAAGCCGGCTGAGCCAAGAGCCTTGCAATAGATAAACGCACCCACGCGCATACTCTGGGGGGGCTGTCTGTAACAGTCTCTCAAAACGAGAATGAAGCCGGGGGGCAATGCCTAGCATTCATGCAAAGTATCCAAAGTATCGAATGATTGCAACATGGGTTTCGTGATCAAAAACCCGCTACACAGCCCTCGAATCCTCTCCCGTGAGAAACAGCCCTGGAAATAAGTGCATTCAGCTTGGGTTCTCACTGGCTTCGATGAGCTCCTAGACAGGGGGCTCCTGCCCGGGCAGCCGGATGGGCATCACTGGGAGGTGCTCACAATTTTTTATTCACTGCTCACAATCATTTGATGTCTTCATTGGGTCCCTACAGAACTGTCCTAATGGCTTTCAATATAAACTTCATTTTAGCCCTGGCTGGTGTAGCTCAGTGGACTGAGTGCGGGCCTGCAAACCAAAGTATCGCGGTTCTATTTCCAGTCAGGGCACATGCCTGGGCTGCAGGCCAGTTTCCAGCAGAGGATGCAGGAGAGGCAACCACACACTGATATTTCTCTCCATCTCTCCTTCCCTTCCCCTCTAAAGATAAATAAATAAAATCTTTTTAAAAGCCTTCATTTTAAGCAACAGGTGCATTTCCAGCCGAGAAAACTTACCCCGATCTCTTTTAAGTCTTTGTCTTGTAGTAACTGCAGGGGGTCGATAAATGTTTGCTTTACGTTAATATCAAGGGCGTCTTTCACCTCCGCCATGAGCTTCATGGACTCGCCGACTTCTATCAGCGCGCCGCCTGGGATAGAAAATACCAGTAGAAAGGACCCGTTGGCAGAGGGCGCGGAGGTTGGCGGTGATATTTATTTCTTTCCCAAAGTTTGCAGGGGTTGGTTTAACGAGGTCTTCGCTCTGGGACTGACTCGGAAAAAAAACTGTTTGACAATCTACGTTTCTTCTCTACGTTTCACGTTGTCTTCCTAAAAAGCTCACGGGGAGGCTGACAAGCCGAGGCACTTACCATTCTGGCCACTAGGTGGGGGTAAAGCTCCATTTAAAAAAAAAAAACAAAACCGCACTTTTGTGAGCTGGTACCAAGGGTTTCTTAGAAAGGCTTCTGAACACAGGCCCTCTTTGTAAACCATAAAAGGATGGAGTCACCAGCGGGGCTGAGCGTCAACCAAGAAAGATCACAATAGAAATAAAGGAACAAAATCGCATCTTGGCTGCCTGAGGCTACCCCCTGCCCTTCAGAGGGTTCCAAGGCCCCCCATCGCGCCCTGACGTCAGAGAAAGCCTGGCAGCAGCGTCGCAGGGGGCGTTCCCAGCAGCGTGGGCGGGGTCTGCTGGGCGGTGACTGACGGCTCTGGCGGGATGACGCCGTGGTACCTGGGCACCAGCTAACCCACGCGTCCTTGCAGCTGCGCACAGTGAAGTTGCGGCTTGTCTTACAAACATCTCTGGGACAGGCTGCCCTAGACCGAACTAGTTTTCCTGTTTGGGGAGGGCGTTTCCAAATTGAGTTTGTAAAAAGGCGGGGCTAGTGGTCTCTCCCAACTCCCAGGCTAGAAGACCTTGAAGTCTAGCGCCCAAATTTGTCTAACAAATTCTGACCTTCAACAGTCTCACCTATTGTTTGAGGGGGAACCCAGTTTATCCACCTGTAAAGCTGGGAAAGCATCATCGTCTTAATTTTTTTTAAAGAGGTAAAGTAGATAATGTATGGCGTAAGACCCTGCAAAATCCCATCAGCCCTCCCTCACTGCAAGTCCCCGTAAGTCGCTGGGCACCTGGGAGGCCACCAGACTGTTGGTCTATCCATGCCCCCCACCCAGTCACCGTGACCAGCCGCACGGCAGGGACACCCCTGGGCGTCGGCCCACCTGGCAGCCTCACCTGTTCCCCAGCAGGTCTGCCTTCAGGGTTAAAAAGTGAAGAAAAACCTCACCTCGTCCCCATTCTCAGGGAACAAAATAAAACCCACACTATACTTCTCTGACGGACATTGTTGCCCTCTGTGACTAATCGGTGTGCTGACATTTGGTTGTTTATCATTTTTTAAGTTTTCAAAATATCTCCCTCCCCCACCCCCGCCAATTTCAAAGATAAATTACCCTGGCCAAATATCTGAATTCTCAACCTCCATATCCCTCCCTTGTTACCACTCCCTGAGTAGCGCAAGTACCAAAACCTCCTGGAAGACTTAGTATATGAAATTTAGTTCTCACCCAATTCACACCCTATTCACAGCCATCCAGCAAGCCCTCGGTTGGACACCCCCATCCCCCCTGAAAGGCTTCATGGGTGACCTACAAGCCGAGAAGGGCAGGCACGGGCCCCAGGGCGCACTCACCGAAGGTGGAGCCCTCCCCGAGCTCCCGGCCGTACTTCAGCATGCAGTCGCCCAGCAAGCCCTCCGTCTGCGGGTACCCGGTGGTCTTCACCTGTCCTCGGATCTTGGACACAGTGTTCAGCATCCCCAGCTTAGCTCTGTATGCTTAAAAACAGCGTCATTTGTAATTCCATGGAGTGACAAGGTGGAGGGACAGACACAGCACGTAACAAACACAGCACGTGAAACCGAGGTCGCCCCAACCAAACACCGGGGACCTGAGGCCAGAAAGGGCTGTATGTGCCCTTTGGTGCCTCTCCTGTGGGTCCCCCCATTCCTTCCCGAGGTGGGGGGCTCAGAGCTCGGCTGTGTGGGTTTTCAAGACCTAAGACAGCGTCCGTCCTCGGGAGCCGGGCCCAGCTCCTGGGAGGCAGATCATACAAGGTGCACCTGTGCCCGTGACTCTGGTTGGTGTGCAGAAAGGAAAACATCACACCGTGCTAAAAAGAGGTGGCATGATGCCTCTGAAGCGTGCCGAAATAGAAGATGTGGAAGAGGGGAGGCTAAGGCATCTGCCCATAAAGAGCAGGCTGGTTGGACCTCAGAAGAAATTAGTACAGGCCCAGATGGAAGGCATCTGCGAAAAATGTGAGCGAACTGAACAGATTCACGTCCCAGCTTTGGGGCTTGGGATGAGTTTAGCCAGTAAAAGTATAAGCGTTTCTTTTCTTTTACTTTAATAATCACGTATTTGTTTGAATGTCTACCAATCCCCCAGCATCCTGGGCCAACGCAGAGCCTGATGCAGTCCGTCTGGGGTGACTGAATTCCTTCCCTGCAGCGTCACCAGGGATGCGGGCCCTGCCGGGTGCGGGGACCACACCTCCAGCCTCAAGGCTCCAGACCCTCCCAGGGGCAGCCGCTCACGCACGTGGGCACACACAGACTCACACACACACATGCTCCTCCTTCCCAGAGTGGAACCGTGTGTGGCAAGCGGCCAGTGAGTGTAGCTGTCACACTGCACTAGAGACTGCCAGGCCTGCTTTCTCCTTCCCAGGGAACAGGCAGGGCCTCCGGCCACGTGGACAAGTTCACTGCCAGCCAGCGTCCACCGTCCCATCCCAGGGTCAGTCCCGGGAGGAGAGGATCTCAGGGCGGCTTCACCGCAGGTCACAGAACCCCAGGAAGCACAGGCCGACTTACCGGCAAAAGGAACTTGCCTGCTTCGGCCCCACCACTCACGAGGCCGGGAAGAGAGGTGTTATTATGGCTTTAAAACCACAACCACCTACACAGGCCTGAAGAACGCTACATCCACCAACTGCCCGGGGCCATGATTTTTATACAATTAATGTTTCTAAATGTTTTCCTTCTAGATTTTCAGATGGTTTGGCCTGGGCTGCTTCCTACCACCAAGGCCCTGGGGCGTGAGAGGGGAGAGATGTCACAGTAACCGTAGATAAATAATCAGTTCCTAAAAAGCAAAGGCAGTTTCAGAAATCCACAGGATTCAAGGCTTGGACGCCTCCATAGGTTTCTGTCATCTACGGCCCATCAGGGATGTGGCTCCCCGGCCCTGGCCGGGAGGGTCTGTTACTGGAGCGTGATCCTTTGCACCAAAAGGTTGTGGGTTCGATTCCCGGTCCGGGCACGTACGGGAGGGAGGCAGCCAATCGATGTTTCTCACTTTCTCTTTCTCTCTCTCAAATCAATAAACCTATTTTTTTAATGAAAAATTAATGCTTTTTTAAGAGAATGCTGCTTCATGACCTGGGCATCAAAAACCTATTTCTAATAAATATGCCCCTTTAGAACAGGGTGGCGCACATTTAAAAAAAAAAAAAAAAAGGAGGAAACGACTCAACAAAGCAAACATTTACAAAACGTCTAGCGGGTTTCTGAAGCGTCTCCTGACGAGCCTTCGCCGAGCAGAGCCGGGCTGCCTGACCCAGACCCTCCTCCAGGTGAGGGACCCCAGCTCCGGGTCCCGTCCACTTCCGAGTGGCCAGGGACTTGCCTTGAAAACACCAAATCTCATTATGGGGACACAGAAAGCACTGTCTTGAGATCATGTCACGTAAGTGCCAAGTCAGCGCAGGGCTACCAGCGTCCGTCTGTCCCAGGGAAGAAGCGATGGAATAACAGTTGGAGGCGAGTTCCGACTTTACCTGGATTTGGCTGGAGGTACTCCGTGGCTTTGGAAAGAATTTCTGTGACAGCTTTATTGGTGACATCTATTTTCTTTCAAAAAAAAAAACAAAACACATAACATGCTGGTAAACGACAAATGGTGACCTCCCAGGAAAACAAACGGAGGAGTCATTTTCACCGAAGACAAAGGGAAGGAAGCTGCCGGAGCTGGCCATTCCCGGGGACGCCCCGACATGGGAAGCAGGCTCAGGGACAAAGATTCGCTGCCTCCCTTTGGAACGGGACGCGGTCACTTCTGCGAGAGCCCGGCCATCGTGCCCCCCATGCCCACCACACTCGTGCGTGTTCTGCCTCACCATCCGCGGGGCTGTGGGAAGCGGGCGGGGCCCCCGGCGCCACCCTGCGTCACGGACCTCGCTGTAGGGCAGCTCAGCACACGTGGGTTGTTACGCAGCTGCTGGGACCCAGGTCTGACTCAGGGCTTCCACACGGGGAACCCACATTTATACAGGTGCAGGGGCTCACCCCACAGACACGCTCGGACCACCCAAAGCAGAGAGTTGCAGCGGCTGGGGCCGTTTTAGCTGTGGGCCAGGCCTGACCACCTTTGGAGCGTCCTGAGTTCCGTCCATTAAAAGAAATGGGGTGACCACACCCCCATCTTCATAGTCAAGGGCGGGCTTAGGCGTGTGAGAGACCTGGCTCTTGGACTCCAGCACCCCCACCTGAGCCCAGGCACCCTGGACCCCCGCCCTAACCTCCTACTCGGCATCTGCCTGACCCCTCTCACGGTCAAGGTCAGGTTCGGGCCATAGCGGACGCGAAAACGCCCTCTTACCCTCTCCATGTCAAGAAACTCGTCATCTAGTTTCGTTCCTTCGATGCCACTGATTTTTTCGCTGAAGAGCTGCCGAAATAAAGACAAATAATAGCATTGGACAACGATCTGCGACCAGCTTCTGGCCCAAATTATCACAAACACACAAGAAGGAAGAAACCCTTCAGATTCGGCTTGTTGGATTTCTTCTTTCCTAAGTCCCTGAAGAAAATACTGGACGGAATAAGTACCTAAGGACACGGGAAGACACAATCTCACTCACTTGACAGATATTTATTATGCTTCTACTGTATGCGAGGCGCATAGTAGGTGCTCCTGTAAAAGCAAAGATAAGTAAGGCACAATCCTTGCCTCCCAGGAGTCCAAAGACTCCGTAGATAAACACTCGACTGAAACACAAGGAGGAACCGTGGAGACAATAAAATAGAAGAGGCCTGGGTACGCATTACGGCAAACGGACTAAGCGTGTCAGCGACACCCAGAAGGGATTCTGAGAGGCCACAGGTGGGGGGCCTTTCAGCAGGCCTGGCCAAGGGCATTTGGAAGGAAGCGCTGATAGGGGGGCCTCCCTGTACGAGGCAGGGTGAGCGAGAGGAGGCGGGGCCAGACCATGCAGATTCTCCAACTTGGAAGCAGAGAGTAGGGTCCATCAGACACAAGGCAGGGAGACCCGTCTGCAGATGCCCAGGCGCATTCCAGGCCTACAGCCCAGCAGCAACGGAAGAGATTTTATCCGGGAAGCACGAAACTCGTGCGTGTGGCTCTCCATCGAGAATTGCTGGTGTTTTGTTGCTGAATGTCCACCCAGCCTCGGCCTTCTCCTGGGACGAGTATCTCTTTCCAAACGCACCCTGGCTGCTCCGTCATCTTCCCTTTTACGAAGCAACGACTTAAACAGCGAGAGAACCGGATCCTGGCAGAACTGCAACAGCAAACTGTGTGCCTCCGGTGGTGAGAGAGCAGCTCCGCGGAACCGGATGTTGCCACGATGTGGGCCACAAGACACCCACCGCTGGGGATGTGACTCAAAGACAGCTCCTGGGCCATTTAACTTCGACAAAGAAAACTGGGCCCACTTCTTGACTGGAATACTTTCCAGAGAGAGCACGCCGCCTCCCATAGGGGTCACAGAAGGGGGGCAAACTGAGACTGTGACCAAAAAACGCCCCCTCTCTCCTGGCCCCTCAGGGCGTCCCTCCAGCCCCAGGAGTCCTCCAGCTCCGCTTTTATCAGCCTGGGAACCGGGCAGCGCCCAATTACAGACACAAAGAGTTAGTTAGGGCCCCCGGCGTTGAATTGTTCACATTAGCGGGAGGTGAGGGAAGCTCTCTGTGAGACTGAAGTTACTGCAACGTTTGAGACGGTGCACACGCTCCCAAGGCATCAGGGAGCCACCAAGGAGGGAGGAGCACTGAGAACAGGCTTTCCCTTTGCAGAAAGTGTCCCCTCGTCCCCTCACAACTCAGGAGAGAGGAGGAATGTGAAGGCCGGGCAGAAAGCCCTGGCCTGGAATTGGAATCGGGGTGGGCTGGACTGGGGGGGGAGAACGGAGGGCCCTGTCGCCTAGGAAACGAGGACCAGAGGCCAACTGTCCAGGAAATAAAGGGAGAAACAAAAAAGTAACCCTGGCTGCTTATCCGAAATTTCCTCTTGAGGCGTCTGACAATCCCTGAGATGCTCGGGGACCAGGACCAAGAAGAGTCGGTAAGACCAAAGATTGGAGCCGCGATTTCTGCAGACGCCCAGATGGCCCTGAGTTCAAGTACACCCGACGGAGAGAAACACCTGCAAAGTGGGGATTCCTACGGCCCCAGACCCGGAGGGCGGAGACATGAGGAAGCGGCCACGTCTGAACAGGAGACAGGACGCAGCTGCTGACCGCTTGGCCACAACCTTGAAACACACACCGAACAGTATCGAGTGTTAAGTGTCATTGAAAAATAAATAAGTAATTTATTTTTTAAAAAAATTACAGTGAAAGCCTGAGGGCGGGTTGGAACAAAGGGGGTCCCAGCGCCCGGCCCACCCCCCTGCTCCCCGGCTTCCTCAGAGAAGAAAAAGCAGGTGTCAGGCAGGTTCTTCGCCCTCCACTCCTGGCACCTCCCCCCCAAACTCTGCTTGAACTACTCGGGAGTTCCCACCCTGTCACCGCAGTTCAAGGTTAAAGGACTATAGTCAAGGGAGGCGGCCATCACAGCAAATAAATAGTAACAATGAAGTGCCCTCTGGGTCTATTTTGAGACGCTGATAAGAGAAAATGGGGAAATGAATGTTAACTTTCTTGTCGCCGTCCGGGGCGGGTCCCTGGAAATTTATGTATAAATCTGGTTTTCATCATTTGAAACCTTATTTTAAAGGCACTTTAGAAATTGGCTTATTTAAAGGTCCCACCCAAGACTCTAATGAGGTAAAAGTCACCATGTATCGATTTGTCCTACAAATTACATTCATCACTATAAATCAATTATATAATTATTTTCTGATTATATGAGATAGTTACTGGTATAAGAGTGAGCAAAAATTTAATAATTAATAATAACTATTACTAATAGTCAACCACAGTGCTTCCTACTTTTCATTTTCCTAAAAAAGAAGGTTTTTCTAAAAATGACAATTTCTTTTCACTGCTACGATTATAGGAGGCGCACAATCTCTGAAATCAAGTAAGTTCGGATTGGCTAGAAACTCATTTTCCCCCCTTATTTGCCCTTATCTTTTCTCATTCTGCTGAGGGCCAGGGAGCACTTCCAGGTTCTCTGGAGGAGCTGGAGAGCCCCGGGTCCGGGGCTGGCTGCAGGTGGCGGGCAGGCTCGGTGAGGCACCTCCCACACTGGGGTGCCCGCCCCCCAGCATCCAGGACTCAACCTGCGCTTCTGATTGGCTGGTCTTTTCTGGGACAGCCAATCCCTGCCACATCTCTGCCTGGGGGTGGACTCACTCAACGTCATCCTTGCAGAGCCCCAGAAAAAAGATGATCTCATTGCTTCTGACTTTCACTCTGGCTGCCAGGAAGCTCAACACCGAAATAATGGGCTGACAATCACCACCCCACGGGCCTTGTTACGTGGACTTTTACGCATCCACAAACTCCCACAGGGCCGCTAAGTCGCCCTGACTTTACCACAATGCGTTTGTGTCTTCCCGATTATGATTCGTGCTTATTATCAGGAGGTTACTTCATCAGCAACGCTACATTTTTTTCCCCTGAAAGATATACTATAGTTCCCATCAGTCAGTTTCATTTGAAATTCACGCAGCTTCCAAACAATCAGAGGCACTTTTCTTTTTTCACAAACAAAGACGTTTTATTCACACGCGAATGAAGCGAAGATCGCCCCCTCTTTTGTCTCCGAGCAGTTCCGCCTTTGGACACAGGACGAGGTCAGTTGGCACCAGGCACGGCTGTGCATCGGGACGGAGCCGCCTGATGACCGCACATGTATGAACAACAAAAAGCGCTTTGTGTGAACAAATAAGGAAAACAAATCCTCACACACTACCATGACACCCTCCTCTGTCTCTCCCTTGTCACAAGGCCTTGGTGGCCGGTCCCACACATTAATACCCTCACTGGGACCCGGCACCAGGCGTGGCCACCGACACAGAGACCGTGCACGGACCAAAGAGCAGAAGCGTGAAACCGCCCCAGGTATCTCGGGCCCTGTTTCTGGTTGACTTTTCCCCCAAGAGTGTGATTTAAAATAGACTGGGCGGAAGAGGCCGGGGCGGGGCGGGAGCGCTCCCAAAGGAATTGCAAACTCCTTCAGGAAATGACAGGCCAGTGTCTACTCATTCTAGGGTGAGATCCCTGAATTATTCATGTTTTCTAGCTAATTAGGGAGGCCTTTTTTTTAAAGATCATGTTGTTTAAAGGATGTGGTCCTCTTTCCTATCCCAAAAGTTTAAATCATCTTCTTAAAAGTGTTCTTAGCCTGGCTGGTGTGGCTCCGTAGACTGAGCGCAGGCCTGCGGACCAAAGGCTCGCCGGTTTGATTCCCAGTCAGGGCACAGGCCTGGGTTGCAGGCCAGGTCCCCAATAGGGGGCGTGATAGAGGCAACCAAATATTGATGTTCCTGTCCCTCTCTCCTTCCCTTCCCCTCTCTCTAAAAATAAATAAATAAAACGAAAGTTTTTTTAGTATCCTCCTTGAGTTCAACAGGAGCTGACAAGTTATAGAGGGGCCTTTGAAATACCAAGTCTCAACTTAAAAACAAAGTTATTCACTCAACCCACTATTGAGCAGCAAATTACCAAGAAGGTCCGGTTTCCTGGATGAACACCTCGTAAGAAGCGACACAGCAGAAAATATAAATAAATGGATTCCCAGCCGGAAGCCACAGCTTGAGGAGAACCTCGCACACTCAGCTCTCGACTGGCGCTGAAAATGTTTCCGAGAAATCAACGGACCGCATCAATGGTGTGAACTGTTTGGGAAATCTGGTGTAGTTTACACACTGAGCCTCTTTCAAAGAGTGAGGGCAAGGAGAAGTTGTCGTTTTAACACAAGTACGACGAGAGTCACAAATAAACTTCCACGATTGACCAGTTGTCTTTTAGGGGTTAAGGCAGAGCCGGTTTTCACGTCTCTCACTTTCCTGAACTCTATAGAGGGCGGCACAGTGAGACCATGAATCCCCCTTTCTGAGCCCTCCGCCGTTGAAAAGGAAGGGGAGGGGAAAGACAGGGAAGGGCTGGGTCCTTCTGGCCCACCGGGCCGGCCAGGTGGGTGCACACTCCCACCCAAAGGCTGCAGGGCGAGGCGGAGGGGACCGCAGGCCTGGCCCGCTGCATCGATACCGCTGGACGGCAGGCTGGGTGGGCTGGCCCACACGGAGGAGGGGTGGGAAGCAATTCGAGTTTATCCCCTGGGGCCACTGAGGGGCCATTAGAAGGACAGGACAGACGCAGATGTCTCCATTCCGCTCCTGAGAACCTGGGTGGCACTTTCGTATCTCTTGCCCCAACACCTCACCCCCAACCCCTGGGCACCACAACCCAGTGGGCGGCTCGCTAGAGCTGCTGGCCACCGCTCCAGGGGAGATGCCCCACACCCAGGCTTGACGCCCCT